ACAATTGTGAGTCTTCCTCTAGGCAAAGGTTTATTTTTCTTTACAAAGAGAAGAGGGCTGTTCAAATTGAGTAATTTCAGACTAATTAACACATTGTTTTTGTCTTACATTTACAACAGAGTGTCTAGATCAATAATGGCTTGCATTTCTCTTGCTCCTTTCCTCCCAAAGCATTTTACAAATTGATGGGGAAAGCTACACACCTCACCCACTACTGACATGCAGTGACTTTAAGGCTGGAACACAGAAAAATGGATCCAGGTGGAACGGCAAGGAAGGAGCTGAAATCTGAATCTGGGGAGAACGTTTCTTACTCTCCCTCATCACAGCTGGTGTAAACCAGAATCGCTCCACTGGAGTCTGAGAGATGCTGATTCACACCAGCTCAAACTGACATCCAGCCTCGCTCTCTCCAGTAATTCAGTGCAAAACACCTTCTCTTGCAGAAAACAGCCAGGACATTCTCAGCCAGATGCAATGAGGATTTCCAGGGCACCCAGTTGCCAAAGAGGAATTAGATCTTGTAATTCCACCACTATTCCAGGCAACTGGGGCCACACCTGGGTGCTTGCGTTTCAGGCCAGCCCTGTTCTGAGGAGGAGGAGACAGGCACCTTCAGAGCATTTCCAGCATCTTCCTCCCAGATCTCTCACTGAGGTGCAAAACTTGTGTTTCACTTATGATCAACCCTTTGCCTGCAAGTGTACGCCCTCAGGGTGGCACCAAGGGCCACCAGACAGAGCACCCCACAGAGCAGCATGGCACAGCCAGCATTGGCATGAGGAAAGGAGCGCCTCTCCCAGCGTTGCTGCCTCACACTCAAGCTCTTCCGCAATGAAGCATCCGCTGCCTTGCAAAGGGCACAGAGGTTCTACAGCCATGGTCACCAACCAGTAGATCGCGATCTACCGGTAGATCTCGGAGGCTCTAAGAGTAGCTCTTGAGCCCTCTCTGAACTGCGCACCTGTGCAGTACATTTATATTAGATTTCCTCATTTGAGGAGCAGCTACTCAGCAAGCAACAGCACAGGTGAGTCGCTGCGAGGAATGGTGGGAATTTAGCAGTATAAGGATTGGGGATAGCAAGTGATGGAGAGGAGGAGAATAGAGAGGGCGGGGCTTCAAGGAAGGGGCGGGGCAGTAGATCTTGGCTTGGTCTGTCATTTAAAAAGTGATCTTGGGTGTAAAAAGGTTGGAGACTACTGTTCTACAGCCATTTCCCCTCCTATCCCGCCCCCCATCCCAGACAGCGGCAAAGCAGAATGGAAGGCCAGACAGGCACAGAGTTTTCCTTTGCATGTTATCAGGTTACTTGTGTAGCAGCTTCTCCTGGATCGGAGTCTGGCTGCCAACAGGCCGAATTGTGGTCCTGCTGCTGGCAGAGGAGATACAGCACAGAGAAGCGCAGTCCTGCAGCGCCACGTGAGATGATGCAACAGCACATTGTGGCAGCTGAGATGAAACAGTAGATGAGGTGAATTATTCCATTATAAAAACAGTCCAAGGCAAGCTGCTGGAAAGCCTTGTAGTGGGAGTCCAAGGACTTCAATGAGCTTTGGATCAGGCCCTCCCAGGATACTCCTTTATTAACAGTGGGAGGGGAGATGTGAGCTGCGGTAGAGCCCCAGATGCTGTCACATACATGCAGGGGTGTCTCAGGGCTCCCTGCTGTGCACCTGGGAGATGATTAAGGAAGCACTGACAAGGCTAGGGTCCAACACAGGAGTAACTGGATGAAATTCTACAGCCTCTGTTATATAGGAAGTCAGAGTAGATGCTCTAATGGTCCCCTTCTAGCCTTAATCTGTAAGGTTATGTCTAAACTGCATTCCTCCTTTGAGAGGAATGCAAATGCAGCTGAGCAAAATTGCAAATGAAGTGCGGATTTGAATTTCCCATGCTTCATTTGCAGGATCGCATCCGGACATCTTTTTCAAAATACCCTATTTCGAGATAAAAAACACTGTGTAGACGCAATTATTTTGAAAGAACCCCCTTCTTTCAAAATACAGCCAGTCCCCAAGTTACGAACACATTGACTTACAACCGTTCGTATTTATGACCAACCTCTTATACAGCCGGTCCCCGAGTTACGAACGAAATCCGCACTTACGAACAGTGCGGCTGTACGCAAGTGAATGTAATCCAACTTACGAACAGATCAGGTTACGACTTAGTGTTTGGTACGTAACTTGTTCGTAAGTTGGGGACCGGCTGTAACCCTTACTCCTAAAAAAATGAGGTTTAACGTTTATTTTGAAAGAAGGGGTTTCTTTCAAAATAACCCCATCTACACACCGTTTTTTATCTCGAAATAGGGTATTTTGAAAAAGCGGCCGGATGCAATCATGCAAATGAAGCACAGGAAATTCAAATCTGGACTTCGTTTGCAATTTTGCTCGGCTGCATTTTCATTCCTCTCTCGAATGCAGTGTAGACATGTCCTAATGGAGCAGCACAGAGTGGCCACTGAGCAGTGACTGCCTGAGTTGGAAGCTATAAGGAGAGCCAGAGAGGCGACAGTCCCAGGCTGGAGTTTATATTGGGACAACAGGAGGGTGAATGCCTGAGGCTGCTGGCTAGAAACAGGAGTGGCTAGCAAGCATCTTTCTGTGGCTGGGGCTTATAGCAGAGCAATGGAGAGGTGCTCATTCCTGAAGTGACCATCGCAGGCCACCATTGCCTCATGAGGATATGAGGAGACACCGTCTGCAGCCTACTGCAGCCAACTTCAGCACAGCTGTAGGCCGCTTAGCCTGCTTCCTGTTCTGCAATTTCCATTTGCTTTGCGGCCGGCCGAGGCCCCAGGCACTAAGCTTTGGTTTACACTGTAGCGCTTTCCCCACAGCAGCTCGGAGCTGGATTACAAAACCAAACCCTGAGCTGAAAAGCCCCTCTTGTTGTGAGTGGGCCAATGGAAAGAGGCTCCTCGGGGCAGCTGCCAGAGGAGCAGGGAAGCACTTGGAAAACGCTTTGCATGGCTCTCAGTGAGGTTATCGTGTGGTACATGCATTTGCAGGGGGCCCCCGTAAGGGCTGAGGGCACAGCTGGGCAATCCTGCACCCCTGCCTCACTCAGGCAGAGGAGTGGAAGTGGGAGGGCCCAGCTGCAGTCCATTGCCGAAGGGCACTGTGCCAAACAGGGGAGCCCAGGACATCCCCCTCCATGGCAGGTCTCAGAAAAACTGCAGAAGCGAGATCATATATAAAATTTTAAAAACTGGCTATAGGCAGCATAGAGAAACGGGTCAGGACTTAGAGCAGGCCGCTCCCCAGAGCTCAAAGGACCAGCCCGTCTCTGGGGGCAAGGGGAAAGGAGAGGGTGTCTGCATCTCATCGTCACTGCGAGAAGGGCAGCACAGAGGCCTTTGGACGAGGGAACTCATGCTCCTCCCCTCGGTGGTTCATGTCAGGCCAGGAGGAGGAGGGAACCCGTCGGCACCACCTCCCCCGGGTTGTCTGCTGGCGTATGCGATGTTCACGCTGGGCGGCTCCCTTCAGACTGCAAGGCCCCGCCTACATCGTGCTGGGGTAGAAGCCCAGCTTGGCCATGGACATTTCCCTCCTGAGCCGCATGATTTCCCAGTACATCAGCTCCGCTGCAAGGCAACAGGGCAGAAGGGTTAGCCAGCCCCAGCTAGCTGCCATGTGAACCACATGGCTCAGCCCCCTACCCCACTGCTCTCTGCAGAGTACACAGGGACTGGAGCGAGATATAGGAGTGACCCATCCTGCTCAGCCATCCCTGCAGCATGAGGCATAGCCCCCCCCAGGCAGGGAGTGTGGGACCCCTTCCTTCCTTCTCTGCCCCCTTCCATGCTCCCCACGCCTCAGGCCTCTTGTTCCCATTCCTTGCTGTGGAGCCGAGTCTCATTCGGAGACAGGGAGCCCCTGCTGACCAGAGGGGGGGCAGCCACACCCAACCCTCTGCTGGGGGCTGCTAGTTGCCTCTTACCATCCTGTCTCACCAAGCCCTGCTGGATGTAGCGAATGTAGGTGAAGAAGTTGCATACGGCTGTGATCTAGGAGGGGGAAGAGAGAGAGAGAGACACTGCTGTAGAACAGCTTGACCAGGGGAACGGGCAGACACAGCAGGGCTTGGCCAAAGCAAACACAGACACACTGGACAAAGGATCTCTCTTCCTGAAGGCTGCAGGGTTTGGCAATGCTGTCACACATCTCTGTGCTGTGGCGGCCTCCTCTGTGCTCACAGGGCCGAGTTTCACAAGTGCAGAGCACCCGCAACTCCAGCTGGAGTCAATAGGAGCAATGGGTGCTCAGCACTATTGTCACAGCTGCCTTTGAAAATCCCGACGCCAACCCATGGGCCTCTCCCATGCAGAAGAAGAATAAAATGGAAAATGCTGCAGAAGAGCAGATAAGGGGCTAGACTGGGAGTAAAGGACTGTGGTGTCTAATTTCTCCTCTGCTACTGAGGCTTGGTGTGACCGTGAGCAAGTCACTTCACCTCCCTGGGTCCGTATTTCCTCATCTGCAGCAATACTGCTGCGCTTTGAGAATTATGGATGACAACAGCTTTCTGAACCCTGTGTATTTTAAGGTGAGGATAAGAGGTAGGCGAGAGGCAGATATTTATGTGCATTCACTACCAGAAATGAATGCTGCTTGAAGATGAGCGGGGGGCTGACAAAGTTTCACTCAAATATTTGTAACTAAAACATCTTAAGCCAGAATTTCATGACCTAGAATGTTTACATTTTGAGAACCACATAAACTTGAAAGGAACAACTGAGCTCTGCTGAAAGAAGTTTTTACAACATGGGAATTTCTCCTGTTTGAAAACAGCCTGGGTGGAAAACTACCCTGTTTGCACAAGGAGTGGTTGTGCTACACTGGACTGTTTTTGTTAAAGTAACATTTTACCTGAATAGCCAATACGCCACAGCTCTACCCCAGACAGTGACTGCTGCAGGGAATGATTTGCTCCTTGTGCCCCCAAATCAGAAAAGCACTTAAACACACCTCTACCCTTTAGGCTAAGGCTTGACAGCTCTGCCAAACGGAGCCATAACCATTTGCTTAAGTACATTGCTGACTCAGGGCTGTAATAATACTGAATAATTTACCTTTTCAGAGCCCTCCAAAGTAAAAGGAGATTCTGTTTCCAGAACAGCCCTAATCATTGCTCTCTGCTGCACAGTAACGAAACCCGGCATTCAAGGAACAGCGAATTATAGTGTTTGACAAAGGAAATCAAAGCTTCCCAGAGAATAAAATCACGGAGAACAGAGAAGACATATTCTGAACGTTACTGTTGCCTTCAATGAGTGACACAACCCAGACTACTGCATGCTACCATACCCTGAGAAACAGGGCTGAAGAGCAGCGATTGCTTCAGAGTGACTGAGCCAACCTAACTCTAGGAGCCAAATTCATCCCTACTGACTTCTGTGGAGCTACACCAGGGTTTGAACAGCTTCCCTTTCTGGAAGAAGCCAAGGAGAAGAGACAGCCCCTAGGATGCTGCATGACTCACCCTGGCCCTGCAGGATGGTGAGATGTAATAATAGTTCCCAGAATCCCCCAGCTTGATGCGGTGTTTGCAGGCGCGGGACAGGCCACTCAGAGCACACTTCCTGCAGGGAGAAAGGAAAGCAATGCTTCAGCGAAGGATAGCCCCATGGCACGGCAGCAAGTAGCTTCCTCAAGCCAAATCTCAGCAGCCAGGTGAGAGTCAGTCAGAGCCCAGAGAGGAAAGAGGAAGGTGAGAGCTGAGTTCTCTACTGCCAAGAAAAAAAACTACCAGAAGGGGCAAGTACAGGAGAATTCTCATCATGGGTTTGCACAGGAGACACCAGGAGCTATGCAATCCCCCAAGTGAACTGCTACAGGGCTCTGCACTCCAGGGCTCCCCCTGTAGGAGCTGAAATCAGAAAGACATGCAGTGCTGGCTACAAGCCAGGAGAAAGCTGTTAGATGTTAGGACAAAGTAATGTCACACATGTAATGAGTTCTATCTATTCTCTGCATCTCCTCCATCATACATGCACTGGTGAGTTACTTGGCCTTAGGAAAAGGGAAGTTGTGTTCTGTGAGGGGAGGGAGGGCATTCCTTCATCACTGCTCAGGGCTGGATCTATTTGGTCAAATGGCAGCTACCCGCACTGGCCCTGAGACCTGGCATAGAGCACGTCCGTAGGGTTGCAGCCAGCAGGCACATGCCCAACTCAGATTTTGGTTCAGTTTCTCCAGGCAGACACATGGCACCTCAGACTACTCAGAACTTAAGCTGTTCTATGCTATTATTATCAAAATGGGTGGTGGAGTTTTAGGGCATCATACAGAGTCTCTGATGGATGAGAGCCACCTGGACAATTCAGTCTGGCCCTGCACTTTGCAGGATCTTTCACTACTTGATTCTCATTAATCTAGTCTCCAGCCTTCTATTGAACTCTGCAGTGATGGTTCATTGGCCATCCCCTTCAGTGTTCTGCGCATCCCTCTTAGACCGTCTTCTTTCTTAGCCGTAAAGTTCATGGCTCTTTTTCCTACCATCTACTGAGACTAGGAATGTTCCCCTTTCTCAGGTCAGTGTTATGCTGAAAGTATTTATAACCCTTCATGGACCTGATGACCTCCTGAGGTCTCTTTCAGCCCTATGATTCTATGAACCCAAAGGCCAGCTCCTGATCTGTCACACTGGTATAAGTCCAGAATAACTTTCCTCTTCCTTTGGCTCATGCCCAGTTCAGAGCCAAAGCCTAGAGCCCTTCCTCAAGCAAAGTTTTCACTGAAGCCAATAGGACTTTTACCACAGTTCCTCATCATCTGGCTCTGTGCACACAGTCACTCACTGGGTGGGTTGTCAGTAGGAATGGAAACCAGTTTCAAAATACAGGCTCTAGCATTTGATTTAAAAAGGGTTAACTCCATTATCTTGAAGGCTGATAACCTCTTCCATGGTCCAGCCACATAGGGGATACATTATACACTCTGCTAGCGAGCTACTACATAGCTCCTTCAATTTCTCCTTACGTACGTCCTCTCTTCCAATCAGTGTATCATTTCTTCATTGTCCTTTGACATGTGCTTTCCCGAGAGGCTTATTCTGCTAGAACCCAGAGCACAGAGTCAGTCGGTTACAACGTGCCGATGCCACACAGAAACCACGTTCAAATGTTAACTTTTAACTTCAAAAATATGAACTCAAAAAAGAAAAGGGTTATAAATTAAATGCCATCTGCAGCCAAAGTGAAATTCTCTCTTGTTCTGGCATTTTCATTGCATGACTACATGGACTACACACTGGAACTCATCTCTGATTATGCTCCACTGGTCATCTTGCTTGCAGTTGGTATCTTGGAGGCAGTGAAGTTACTGTCTGCTATAGAGTCACATTTAATCAGATGGGGCCTGATCCAAAGCCCAATGAAACTGGTGGGAGCCTTTCCAGATCAAAGGCCAGGAGATGTTGGGGTATCCTGATCTTCTCTGTCTTGATTCAGCTGCGTGCAAAGAGAACTCAAGTTTCCAGCATCCCACCATACAGGCTAAAACTTAAAGAACAACAAATAGTCTTGTAGCACGGCTCGGAGAGATTTCCTGGTATTTGTCATCATGTCCTTCCCTGTCGCCACACCTCTGGCCTGGATGCAGGCATCACTCCTGAGCTGTGAAAGTAGCTAGGATCGCCACCACCCAGGCAGGAAGAATCAGCGAGATGGGGAATGTGCAGGATCACTTGTGAGCCTCTTTCATTATCTTCTCTCCCTCACTAGCAAGGTTTAAACAGACAAACACTGGCTAACACACACAAGCAGAAAAGCCTGGCCAATGCTTTCTGAAATGAAGAGTGATTTGGACTGCCTGGTTTTTGAGACCTATAAAAGGGACGGAATTTTCAAAGAGCACTAAGCACCCCCCTCTGGAAACCAGACCCTTTTGTGATGTCTCAAGATAAGCCCAAAATCACTAGCCACTTTTAGGCCATTTGTTGCAAAGAGGGTTGTAAGTGGGGCCTTCAATTCACCTTCCAGCATATTAATAGGATTGAAAAAATTACTGGCTGAAGTCCAGCCTCAAATCCATTAGTAACCAGGTGAGTTAGTAACTTGTTAATGGATCAGAGATCTTTAATCATTGGCTAAAAATCACTTACGTGACAATTTGTGACCGGAACCCGCTGTGGGAAAAGACAAAAGAACAGAAGGCAACCAGTCAGGATACACACAGGATGGCTTGTTTTTGACCTGGAACTAACACTCACTGAGTGATTTGTTTTGAGAAGAAAGAGACTGTGGAACAGCTTGCCATGAATCCCGTGTGTCATTCAGGTTATTGCCACATGACATGACAAACGACCTTTGGTTTAGAAGAAGCTGCTGTTAGCAGAAGGAAAAAACCCAGACTGACCTAAACACAACAGCTAAGCAAAATCCTCTCTCTTAGTCAAGAAATATAAAGTTCAGGAGTCTGACCGCTATCTGTTTGCAGTGGTATTGGACTGAGCCACTTCGGCACTGCCCTTCCTTGGGTGATACCCTGTAACACCAGGACACAGACAGACAATTGATTCCCAAGCTGTCACAGGAGGGATCTGAAATCAGTCGATACAACTCTGAGGAAGGCTTGGGGTGACAGAGAGGAGAAATGAGTGTGCTCATTTTGCCCCAATTCAAACCCACCTGTGACCTAGAGCATCATGAGTATTCAAAAATCTGATGTGAACTTAGATGCAATGGGACACATGCATAGGAGAAATATCAAGAGGGGAGGAATAAAAAACACCATCTGTAGGTCACCCAGCTTCTGAGGGTTCTCCTAGTCCCAGTACTTAGCAAATTTTTCCCTGGAGAGAAAATGTTTTCAAACAACTCCCCCTTGGGTTCCTCCTCCGTCTCTAACTTTAAGTTAGAGGAAGAAAACATTCTGTAACTTTGTGAAATCAAAATAGTTTTTTCAGTCCCTCAAGGTGGACTCCAAAGCCTCAAACTTCATGTGGTTTTACCAGCCCCGATGTGGTTTTACCAAACCTTGCGAGCTGCTGCCCTCGGTTTGAGATGGGAAAGCTAGCTTGAGAGGCATTTCTACAACAAACTACTCAGCTACTACCCAGTCCTGCTCAGATGCTAAGAGATAGCGGAGACAGAATGCAGATGAACTGAGCCAATGTGTGGGACAGAACCTGCCACAGCCTTGGAGGAGGCTGAAGGAGCACCTGGGAGAAGAGTCCTTACTTTGGTCCACCACATTCCATCGCTGACACCTTCACCACAGGCAGTGCCTGGGTAGCGACAGGCTCTATGGTGAGCGTGTTCTGCTCCACTGCCTCCCGCACCAGCTCCGAGAGCTACAGCAAGAAACACAGAGCTGAGTTCAGACCAGCAACGCTCATGCCCAGTGCAGTCTGTAAGATTCCCCCAAGTCCTGACGTCTGCTCCCGCGCTCACCTCCTGTTTGGTGAAGTCCAGGCAGGGCCCCACGTCTTCCCGGTAAATCCTCTCCAGGAAGGAGCAGGATTTCTCCAGAGTCGGGGATTCCTTCCAGGCCTGGAACTCGGCGTACAGGATGGAGTCGACCTGCAGTGAGCATGAAGGGAGACACAGGAAGAGAGAAGGTGTGGAGTTGGGGGAAAAGACACCACAGCAGTTAGCACACCTATTCCCCAACTACAGGGGTGCCTTGGAACCCACACAGGAACTGCAGAAAAAAGCAGGATCACTTCTGGGGGAACTGCTGTATCTGCCTTGTCTGCCACCCATCTTAGCATCTCTGAGGGTATGTCTAGACTACATGCCTCTGGCGACAGAGGCATGTAGATTAGACTACCCGGGAGAGGAAAATGAAGCGGCAATTTAAATAATCGCCGCTTCATTTAAATTTAAATGGCTGCCGCGCTGAGCCGATCAGCTGTTTGTCGGCTCAGCCTCCCAGGAGGCATACCTGAGAGGTTGACAAATGCCTTTGATGTCGACCGCGGAGCATCCAGACTACTGCGCTGAGCCGACAAACAGCTGATCGCACAGCAGCCATTTAAATTTATTTAAGATTATTTAAATCGCCACTTCATTTTCCTATGCCGGGTAGTCTAATCTACATGCCTCTGTTGCCAGAGGAATGTAGTCTAGATGTACCCTTAGAGATCCACATGGCCAAGTGAGGGTAACTTACGGTACGTCTAGACTACATGCCTCTGTCGCCAGAGGCATGTAGATTAGGCTACCAGACATAGGAAAATGAAGCGGCGATTTAAATCATCGCCGCTTCATTTAAATTTACATGGCTGCCGCGCTGAGCCGACAAACAGCTGATCAGCTGT